ATATGAAAACACACATAAAAAAGAATTAGAGGAAGGTCTCAGATACAGGGAACTCTCCTTCTGTGAGGACATATTCACACAGCCAGCATGACCCAGTGTGCACTGGGCAACAGACCCAGCACACGTGTGTCTCATTCATCCCACACACGTGATGTGGCTGGGATCACTGTTCCTGCTTAACAGTGAGGAAATCAAGGCTGAAGCTGGTTAGATAACTTGTCATACCAGCTATGAGCTGTAGAAATGGGATTGAAGGTGGATCTGTCAAACTCAGCTCAAGTGTCCCCCTTCTGCTTTGCATCTTTCCTCTGAGGCCCCTCCGGATTTACACATCTGTCTCTCTTATTCTCCTGTGAACCTGGAGCCCGGAGATCTGATCAGCCTTTGAACTCCCAGCACCTAGTGCAGCCCTTGACAGGTGCTCCAACCACTGCTGAAATAAACTCCAGAGCAGTCCTCCCCCGTGCCCATCCCAACGGCTGCCTTGGATGACAGCCAGAACTCCAGACTGAAAAGTTCTCCTGCTCAGGACGATGAAGGAAGAGGAAAAACCACCTCTGATCTGCACCTCTCTCTAGCTCGTGGTGAATGCTGGACATGCTGCCAGAGGCACCTGGGTGGGCGAGTTGACCTCACTGTTCAGAGGTCTTACATACACACCTGGATGACTCATCGGCTCTATTTCTCTGAAGAATCTGCTTCACATTTTGTACCCATTATATTTCATTCTCATTTGTCATTTGCAAATATGGTCTGCAGGCATTTTTAAAAAGTAAGACACACGGGCTGGCCCAGTGGCGCACTGGAGAGTGCACCGCTTGGGAGCGCGGCAGTGCTCCCGCCAAGGGTTCGGATCCCATGTGGTGACCGGTTCCCGCTCACTGGCTGAGCGTGGTGCGGGCGCAACACCGAGGGTTGCGATCCCGTTGCCGGTCCCCGGTACGGGCACGACACCGAGGGTTGCGATCCCGTACCGGTCAGTAAAAAAAGACAAAAAGGAAAAAAAAAAAAAAGTAAGACACAAAGGCAATAAGGTAATGGTATAACTACAAAAACGTTGCACGTGCCAGGTTTTCTTGGGTTAGTTAACACACTTTTATCCACACCTTCTTTCTTCCGTTGTGGTAAGATTTTGCACCATGTTTGTGTTTTGAGGCCTCAGCAAACAGTCAGCAGTGAATTAACACTTTAATTATTATTCAAAAACTACAAGTGTTCCAGTGGGGGAGAAACATGAAGCAGAAGGAAACCTTGCGTACCCAGTTCTTTAAGGCCTGCGTCAACCTTCCGAGGGCGAACATGTTTATTACTGTGGGTTCTGGTCCTATGCATCCTCTCCCTTTTAATCTAAACTGAACACATGTGACAAATAGCAGTGAGCTGAGTTCTGGGCTGGGAGAAGCAGGCAGTGTTCGTGCTGATACCTGAATCAGAGCAGACTTGCTGTGGGATGGTGACCAACTACGCCGAAAGTCTTCTCCTGTTCCAGAAGGAGGGCCGCAGTTCGTCTCGGTCACAAAGTGCTCACAATAGCAGGTGCTCTTGGACAGAAACGTGTAGAATGGAAGACTAGTACTTCTCCCTTGGTAGGTATGGTGATTTCTCATTAAGTTCCCCAATGCCGAGAAAACAAAACACAAGCTTAAAAGTTCAATGGAACAGCAGATTCAAGAATTCATACTTATTCTCTGTAGTACTAACAGCTAATTACGTTTGTTCTAATCACTTGTGGTCTATCTCCAAGCTGGGATATCACTGAGCGAGTTTATCTGGACTCCTGTCTCAGATTTCTACACTGGTTAAGGGTGTAATTTTGCATCTAGTTGCAACTTCCTCATATCCATGTACAGTTTTAAAATGCAGTGCTGCGCCCCTGGTGAGATTTATTCTTTTATTGCACTGATTCTAATCAGCTCTTCTGCTTTGCATTTTAACCAGGCCATCCGCTCATTTCATGGTGGACTTCTAAAGTCTGGGTAAACCATTCCCAAAAGGTTTTGGTATCTGCAGAAAATATTTTCATTGTGTCTTTACGGCTGCAGATCACTTTGGGAAACGGTCAATGCCTGGATACTTTGAAACTCCTTGAAAACATTTATGTTGTTCTTGCTGTTGTTTTAGAGTCACACAAAACCCATCTCTAAGCATCTGGCAGCATTCAGAACAAGCTCAGCCTTCTGTCTGTTTCCTTGTATGTTGCAAGTTTCCCTGACCAGGTACTTTTAACATCCAGTCTCTAACTGGGGCGACTTGCACAACTGATTTGAATACTAGCCCTGCTTTTTCACTTCTTAGCCACTTGCAGGTTGTCCACACATAAAGTATTTTCTGCCAATCTGAAATTTCATTCATTTAATGTTTACAGTCTTTGCTTGGCGGTCGTCTGAGTCTCATGGTTCCCTGCCAGCTGAGAGTCAGGGGCTGGTTGGAGGCCCAGGCTTGAGCAGCGTGGGAGTCAGAGCTCCAGACAGGCTACAGGCCCATGTGGGTCTCCAGTGGTGTCCCCAGGGTTGGCCTGTAACTGACCAGCTCCAAGTGAGGGGCTGGGACCATTTGTTTGGTCCTGATCAAGCCATCAGAGGTTGGCTTATGACATGAGGTTGTAGCAATGCCTGTGGAAAACAGGAGGAAACTATCTGAGACCAGGATGAACCATACTTGAAATCACTAAAAACACGTCTTTGGAGATCAACTCTGGACAGGAAAACAGAAACAAGAGGAAGAGAAAACTCATTGCTGGTGCACAAGCCATTCCCGGCAGGTGTTCTCTGCAGGTGATGCCACCGGATGAGCCAATGGTCATTTCTTGCTGTGCTTCTTTTGAGTTCATCAGCACATCTAATTCCTCCCTATCTGCTGCCGCATGTTCCCCTTGGGCATCTGAGAATATCCCAGGAGAAGCTGCAGATGCTCATTAGTGATGAGCTACAGAGCTGTCAGCTTTGAAAAAACAAGACTTGGAACTGGATTCAGTAAGTTTTGTACTCATTTTCACTCTTCCCGTCCTGCAGGAAAGTCAAGAGAGAATAAACACTGACCTTGAAAACCCCTGCTGTTCCTGGAGTCAGCGCAGAAGGATGCTTTCACAGCTGTCAGTACAGAAGTCAGTACAGAATGAACTTCTATCAGAAGAGGACTTTACTCCAGTCATGACAAATAACGATGGGCCCAGGCCTGCCAAGCCTGTTTACAAGACCCGCTCCCCACATCTGGGGACCGTTCCCCACCTCTTGTCTGCACACAGTGAGCCTGCAGGGAAGAAGTGTTCGGATCGGCCTGAGTGTCTGCAGAGGCTCATCCTCCAACTGACCTCTGACGCTGCCCCAGTCCGCATTTTGTGGGGTGCAATGTGGGGGGCTGGCCCAGACCCTCTTTCTCACCTTTTTCTCATGCTATTC